AACTATTTCGGGATTTTAGGGATTCTCGGGACTTATCGATATAATCGATATTTCGTTGGTTTTTTTTATCGATTTTGTTATCGAAATTTTTATCGATATTGTTATTGATTTTGCTATCGATATTTTTGGAACTTATCGATATAATGATCGATATTTTTATCGATTTTGTTATCTCTTTATTATCGATTTTATTATCGATTTTGTTATCGATATTTTTATCGATTTTGTTATCGATATTTTTATTGGTTTTGTTATCGATATTTTTATCGATTTTGTTATCGATTTTGCTAACGATTTTGTTATCGATATTTCAGAACTTATCGATATAATGATCGATTTTGTTATTAATTTTGCTATCGATATTTTCACTTATCGATATAATGATCGATATTTTTATCGATTTTGTTATCGACATTTTAATCGATTTTGTCATCGGTTTTGTTATCGATATTTTTATCGATTTTGTTATCGATACTTTCGGAACTTATCGATATAATGATCGATTTTGTTATTTATTTTTCTATCGATATTTTCGGAACTTATAGATATAATGATGGATATTTTTATCGATTTTGTTATCGACACTTTAATCGATTTTGTTATCGATTTTATTATAGATTATTTATCGATTTTGTTATCGATATTTTTATCGATTTTGATATCGATATTTTTATCGGTTTTGTTATCGATATTTTTATCGATTTTGCTATCGATATTATAATCGACTTTGTTACCGATATTTTTATCGATTTTGTTGTCGATATTTTTATCGATATTTTTATTGGTTTTGTTACCAATATTTTTATCGATTTTTCTATTGATATTGTTATCGCTTTTGTTATCGATATTTTTATGGGTTTTGTTATCGATATTTTTATCGATTTTGTTATCGGTTTTGTTATCGATTTTGTTATCGATTATTTATCAAGTTTGTTATCGATATTTTCATAGATTTTTTTATTGATATTTTTATCGATTGGTTTATCGATATTTTAAATCGATTTTGTTATCGATATTTTTTTAGGTTTAGTTGTCGATTTTCTTTATCGATTTTGTCACCGATAGTTTTATCGGTTTTGTAATCGATATTTTTATCAATTTTGTTATCGAAATTTTTATCGATATTGTTACTGATTTTGTTATCGATATTCTCGATTTTTTTATCGATTTTAAAAAAATCGATTTTAAATTTTTTTTCCGTCTGGTTATCGATTTTGCTATCAATTTTTTGATCGATTTTTTATTGATTTTGTTATCGATATTTTTATCGATTTTGCTTTCGGTATTATTACCGATCTTGCTATCGATTTTGTTATCAATAATTTTATCGATTTTGTTGTCGATATTTATATCGATTTTGTCATCGATATTGTTATCGGTTTTATTATCGATATTTTTATCGATTTTGCTATCGATATTGTTATCGCTTTTTATATTTTGCGTTTAACAGCATTCGAACCCGAGTCTTGCCGAAAGTTAACAAATAGTAACAAGTATCTCTGCGCCCTTAGCTACAACCACAACATGTAAATGTGTTTTCAAATGTTCAGTTTGAATTAAATTTCTTTCAAGCGCTCAAACAATTTTATATTAAGTTTTTTCAATAAATATCTTTTCTGTTCAAAATTTCAAATCTTTAAATCTCAGTAAGCTGTAGAAAAAAACAATGGTATAAAATAAAAATAAAAATAGGGCTTTCGCTTATATTCTCATTGAGTTCTTTTCACTTAGAAGTATGTAAATTTGTAAAATTTTGGAAAAACCCTTTTTTTCTTAGTGTGTGATTTCGTTTTTGACTTGGATATGCTCTTAACCATACCACGTATTCTACGTTTAAATATAGCGGCTGTATCTCCGATACAGCCTGCAGACCAAGACGAAGGCGCTGGACTGTTCCTTTTATTTAAAAAATTGTAGGAAAAATATTTTCCCCATTTTTTATTTTGATTGTGGAGGGCAAAATAATTTTTCATTGCCTTTTTACAAAAGAAATATTATTTGAAACTGAAAATTGAATATCTTTCAAAAAATCTGCAACTTAGCTTTAAAATTTTACCTTAATAAATATAAGCACTCCCGCTTGAGTAAATTAGTTGAAATCTACAATTAAAAGAGAAACAGTTAAAATTATAGTCGTTTATTTTCGTTTTCAAATGAAATGATACTAATCCGAAAATTCTTTTGAATGCATGTTTACAAAGTGACTAAATACTCGCATATACATATATATGTATATCTTTACCTAGATATGTAGATGTTATATTAGCAACAAACCAATTTAGTCTACGCAAAAATCCTTTGCTGTCAGTTTGCACCATACAACACTCACCACATGAATAGCTTTAATAATCAACGTACAAATATACATATATATACCTATGCACATACAGTGACTCAAATAAGTGTGTGCACGTTGCTTTTTTTTAATAGTCACAATGTTTTTTCTGTGAGTCTGTGAAAATATTGTTCATGCATTAACTAAAACCATATAAATCAATGTTCCAAACTTTATGGGAAATTCAAAAAAATTTCAAAAAATTTCCGAATTTTCTAATCTGAATTTTTAGTATTGTGGGTGTTATTATACAATTTTAGTGCAAAGTGCATGTTTGAAGCAGCTAATTTTTATAAAATTAGGTTAAAAAGTTTGAAATTTTGATAAATTTATTTTTGAAGTTTTCTAAATTTTGTATAGAGTTTGAAAATTCGTTTTATATGATTTAGGTTAGAGCATGAACAGTATTTGTATTAAAAAATTACAAAAAAATTTTAATTTGAAAAGCATTGTAACTATGTGAACACTTGCTTGAGTCATTGTGTGTCTGTGTAGACATGATCTTTCAACACAACCGTGCGCGAGCAAAGTCAACTTTATATACAAGTACATCAGAATACGAGTACAGTGTGTAAATATATATGTATGTACATATATGCACCTAGCAAAAAGTTGCCTCTTGCTTTTAAGCCAAGCCGGCATAGAATTGCTGAAGCACTCGCACACATGGCTGAATGGCGAAAAATACATAAATAAACAAACAAAAAAATCGAGCACTTGAGTTTGTAAACAACTTTTTTGCACACATGCGTGTGACTGTGTATGCATGCAGTGCTATCATTTTTTATACTTACTGTCAGTTCTCTCTTTTTTTATCATTTTTCACCTTACTGTTTGCTTATGTATGACCTCTTTGAGGTTTGTTTTGTTTCTATTCATTACTGTTCACTGAGCTGTGCTAAACTAATTATAGCGATGCTGCATACGTTCGTTATTTCTGTACCGTCACACACACACACACGCGTGCGCATCATGCAACATGCCACACACACACAGTACACTGCATGCAAAATGTTGCATGTACATTAATTTGCTGCCACAGACATTTGTCTGTTTGTGTTAGTGTTTGCATGCACATACATACAAAACAAACATGCATGTGTGAATAAGCTAATGCCTTCTTTCTACCTTCATATAAATTTATTTGCGCAACATTCTATGCCATTGCATTGCTGCAGGCGTCTGTTGGAGGTTACTAGTTTGTAGTTGTGAGTGCGTTGCTTGAGAGAGGGGGCGCTCTAAATCAAATGCAGTGTAAACATTTGTTTGTTTGCGTGCTTTGTGTAGTTATGAATATGCGAATGTTGCGGAAAAGATTTATTAAAAGGTGCAACTATCTTTAAAGACTGCTACTTTCGTTTGTGGCTTTGAATTTTATTTTTCGAATTACATTATAAATGTAGTAAATTTATTTTTGTGGTTTAATCGTTTGCTCAGGGGAATCTCATCTCTTGTGGATATCATGTTTTCTCTGTGTAGTTTCTTAAGCCAAAGTACTGGTACTAAAACGGCAATTCTGACTTAGATAGTAAAAAGCCTTTCGTTAAAGAAATGGAAGACAGATGACAAGATAACTCGAAAAACTTTTATTATTCTAGAACAATTGTCTAAGAAAAAAACTTTCTCATTCACCATTCGTGGTGAAAAGCTTTTGTATATAGTTTACCTCGCGTCGATCACACAATCGAAATGGCCGAGTGAGCAATGAACAGGCATGATGAGATCCGGGTTCGAGTCCTCGGGCAGCGGATTATTTTTTTCTATTTTTAAATTTAAATTTTTATTCGTTTTTATTTAAAAAAAAAAATAAAAATATTTTATTTTTATTTAATTAAACTTTTAGAAACTTATTTTATTTATTTTTTTGAATTAAATTTGGTTTTCCTTTTTTCTTTAAATTTTATTGTTAAAAAAAGTATAAAATTTAAAATTTTGGATCTTATTTTATTGATGTTTTGTTTGATTTTCTTCTTTTTTAATTTCATTTAATTTTTATTTTTAGATTTTGTTTGGTTTGAAAATAAAAATATATATTTTTTAAGTTTATTTAATTTTTGGGTAGACCGCTCTAAAAAGTTAATTTTTGGTTTATAGATTTTTTAAACCAACCATTTGTTTGGCAACAAAAACAAGCCTGAACTCAATTTGTTTACGGGTATTCCCCGAATTTCTTTTTGCCGTGAGTTTTTGAATTTGTGAGTTGTGTATTGTTGTGGTGAAAACTAAGTCATTGAAATCCCTGTTATGTCGTAAAAACTATGTTTATTATTATATTTTTTTAAATTTTGAAAAGCGCTTAGAAAGGTTAATAAATCCAAAAGCTAATCACCCTTGGGACATTCCAGTTAACTTTTTATTATTTTAAAAAGAAAAATAAATAT